ATTGCAGACTTTTAGGACGCATTCTCTGTTACTTAGAACTTCGCAAGGATTTCTTTCCATGCCTCGGACAGAAATGCTGGACTGGTCACACGCATAACAGCATTCTTGGTTTAATCTGAGGAGACGTTTGTAACCAGCCCAAAGATTTTAGTTTTGGTGTTAACTAGCGCAGAGAATGGCTAGCTTAATGGTTAAAATAGTTACTTAAAAAATTGATCAGCCAAAATAAGTGTGAAGTGGATTTGTCAGCTACCTACACCTCGAGCACAGAAAGGGACAGGCCATTGTGTTTCTAGAACTGTGCGGGACCCGAGGCACCGTTCTGGATAAAATATTTGTTTAGACAAGAATGTAGTTTCTTTAGACACGGAAACGCTTCAAGGTTATCTAGAACCGTGCCTTCTGGTGGATAATCACAGTGTTGTATCAAGAACTGTGTTTGCGATTATCTCACCGTCTCGGATGAGTCAAGCCGAGAAGGTTTTATCACAAGGAGAGCCGTCGGCATAAGTTTCCTTTCAGGGATGTACGTAGCGCGTGTGAAATTTATTTTTACGCCCATGTGCCAAAGACATTCATTTACATAAATCCCAGGCTCACGCTGTAGCTCATTTGCCGTTTGTTTCGGCGGCATTAGCGTCATGGCACAGCCTGGGCTTAATGATTTCTTGTTTCTGTGATTTCGAAGATGATTTTGATGTCATTACCTTGATATAACGTTAGAAAGAAGTCCGGAGTCTTCCCAACACCAAAAGCTCCACCAAGACCAGCGATCTTTTACACTGGTATACACCTCTACTGTGTGTGTGGGCCGAATGAACAATGGATTTTCCCCAAGCACAAGGTGACATTGCAATGCATCACGGACTCAGACTATGTCAGCAGCTTTAATCACAAGGTTTAAAAGACAATCAGTATGCAGGGCAAAGTGCATGCGCTGGTTGGGAGTTCAATGGGGTCGACATAACAGGTCATATGTCCAGTCAAGGATATACTACAGGCGGTTCTGTATAATGTCCTTGGCCCGGTGAAGGCCTTAGGCTATACGAGTTTTCAAGACGATGTTTGACGTTGTTCTAGACTTTTAGGATATTATTTACAGTACATTGCCAGAGAAAAATGTATAAAAATGTAATATATTTGAATGAGCCGGATCCTTCTGCTTGGACATAAGGGTATGTCACAATAGCCCGATCGGATGCGTATCTCTCGAATCTCTCTCTCTCAAGGTCGCTGCTGTTTACACGTGACAGTTTCCGACCTATCAGACCTCGCAGCTCTGCTTTGCGCAAGACGTTACACACGTGACAGTTTCCGACCTATCAGACCTCGTAGCATTGCTTTGCGCAAGAAGTTACACACGTGACAGTTTCCGACCTATCAGACCTCGTAGCATTGTTTTGCCCAAGAAGTTACACACGTGACAGTTTCCGACCTATTAGACCCCGTAGCACTGCTTCGGGTTAGAAGTTACATACGTAACAGTTTCCGACCTATCAGACCTCGTAGCATTGCTCTGAACACGATGTATTAACCTATATCAAAGTTCAGTCTTTTTTTACATCTGAATTTTACTTTGAAGGTAGCAACTCCCGCGGTACTTCTTCAATACAAGATTTACGCCTGCTTACTAAACAACAGGCGATTCAACTGATAAAATATAGGCTCAATGGCTTATGATGATCATATTCATGCTACAGAAGTATGTCAACTATTCGTGTGGATGGCGAAGTTAGATATTAGTTTGTGCAAATCAAACTTTAGACGATTTCGTGCGAGCAATACGCCACGCAAGCAAAATCTTGATAAGTCGTTTATTTATAGACTGCTAACAATTACTAATTATGGGTTCACCACACCACGAAGTGGTGGTGAACCCATATTGCTTTTTCTGATGTTTCTTCTCCTTCTCCTCCTCCTCCTGCCATATCTTTAAATGGATTCAGCTTCTTCATTTTAGGGCCTAAGGTCCTGAAATTTGGTATGGAGGTACAGTGGGCAAATACCCCTAGGCGTTTTTTAAATTTTTGTGATACAGGCTTTTAGAATGGTTTTATTTGAGTTTTTTGGCTGTGTTATAGCAAATGTATTACTGTGTTAGTGTGCCGTGTTTACCACGTCTGGGCATGAGTCATCACAATGGAATGCAGGGCATCAACCAATAGGCATGCAGCTTTCCTCTATACTTCTTGCTGATTGGCTGTTGGGATTTAACTTGATTAACACCCGCACAGAGCATTTCCACCTGCACAGAGCATTTCTTGCTGATTGGCTGTTGGGATTTAACTTGATTAACACCTGCACAGAGCATTTCCATACTGACAGTATGTCTTTATTCAAGTGTTTTGGTAGGTATTTCAAGCTTTTCTGCTCCAGCATTGGAATGCGGGGCATGAACGTTTTTTATTTTATTTTGAAAATCAACAGTTTGCATTATGCAATCAAAAATCCTAACCAATAAAGTAGGGAATAGCTATCCAACTGTTGTTTTAGTTGTATGTTACTTCATATTATAGTTATATCAATGTAAACAGGGTTCTAGCTAGCGCT